TATGAATGTATAATGGGGTGCGCGTTATTTCGAAACGCGCATGGGTGTTATTTCGAAACTAGTTATGAAATTTTTAGGGGGCGCGATTTTCGAATTAACGCCCATGCCCACTATTTCGAGATTTTACGGTAATTGTTATGCTTCAATAGCCTGTTATATGAAAGAGCACAGTGTAATTAAGCCATGAACCTGTAGGATTCTTATCGCTTTAGCAAAACTTTACGAACACTTGATGATAAGATGAAGAAACTTCAGAGAGAATGTTTGGGTGAAACAGAACAGGCATCACCATTAACTTCAGAGAAGATTATTCATATACTTGATCATAAGACTATGCAACCTGATGATAATGAAAGATTGACACATCGTGTATTTTTTTGGCTATCTCTTCTTTGTGGCCTCCATGGGGGTGATGCTGAAAGAATTGCTTTTAATGATATCTCTCATCATAATGATGGTGGACTTTATTTAACTTTTAATTATAAAAAAAACAATCAGCGAGGGGCCTTAAGGCGAAATAAGTATGGTAAAAGTTCAGCACGAAAAATACCAATTCCTTCTGATCAAGCCAATAACTGTTTTAAGCCTATTAGAGATATCTTGCATATGATATCTTTACGACCTCACAATGCTTCTAGTTCTTTTTTTTTAGAGACAACACGATCAGAAAAGGGTTAATTTTTTTTTTCGCTAACATTGATTTTAATTTTTTTTTTTTTTTGATTATTCACTAACATTGATTTTAATTGTATTATTTTTATTAGACAAAAAAAAAGGCATTTGGTTTAAAACTAGTCGTATGGGAATTAATAAGTTAAACACTATGATGGCAAAGATTGCAAGTCTTACAGGTATAAATCTTGATAATGGACGCAAAATTTCTAACCACTCTTTATGTCGTACAGCTATTCAACGACTCAAAGATCTTGATGTACCTGAAGATGATCGTATGCAATTTTCTGGACATCGTAGTCATGAAAGAATTCACGCCTACAATAATCCCAATGATGATCAAAAACTTTGTAATACATCAATGTTGATTCCATTAAATTTTGATGATATCTTTTACGAAGAATTTGACTATTTTCCCAGCAAGAATTATTTGGATTATGAGGAAGATCATGATGATGGTATATGTATTTTGCCAAATTTTGAAAATACTTTTTTTTTTTTCATATAAAAGATTTTATTGATTTTTTTTAGAGTTTCTAGATCAAAATCGGGATTCAGCATTGCACAAACCATTATTGCGCTTTGCAAAAAGATGTGACCTCTGCAGATCACAATGTCGCGTGAAAATCGAAGATTCTGTAGATTTTAAGAATCTTATCGATTTCAAATAAATATAAATATAACTGATCGAAAATATGAATTAATAGACAATCTAGAATCTCGGAAATTTTCCCATTTCATCATCACAAAAATCATGGGGTCACATCTTTTTGCAAAGCGCTATAAAAGAACTATTGCATGAAGCATCATATGAAAAAGAGATGAACAATTGTATGAACAAGTAGAATCGGATAAACAAGTACAGTCGCATGAGCAATCGCATGAGCAATCGTATGAGCAATCGCATGAGCAATCGCATCAACAATCGCATAATTCAAAAATGCACAATTCAAAACTATCACGAAAATCAAAACTATTCGAACCATTTAAGCCACCAGCACGCATATTAACTCCATTAGATAAATCACCACACACTTTAAAACCCTCCAATATTCAACAACCATCAACATTTAATATTCAGCAATCATCATGTATCCCTCGGCCTTCATATTCAAGATCTTCCACACCTTTGAACGATATGACTAATTGTTTTTCTCATTACAATCTTCCAAGTTATCAAGACATTATCAACTACAATAACCGCAATTCAAATTATAATGATAAGGAAATTCATTACCATTTCCATTATCATTTTTAATATTTTAAAATTATAGAATGCAAAATTGTAACGTAAATTGATATCAAATGTAATAAAATATAGGATTTTTTATTGCTTTTTAATTGTAATAAAAATACAAAATTTCAATTAAGTTTTGGCCTGTTAATCACGTGAATTTATTAATAAAGTATGACGAATACGTAGGATTTTTTCCACCGGTGTATACATAGTACCCATGGGATAATTGTTAATACTTATGTTTAAATCGGATGTCAAACGATTGCAGATTAACCAAAGCTAAATATATACTATTGGTTAATCTGCAATCATTTGATGCCCGACTTAATCACAAGTATTAACAAGTATTTGACTGTCAAATTTTTGTTTGGTTGTGCCGAGCACTAGTTATGACAACATAATCATTAACATATTATTTTGATTAATAATAAACTATTGTATTGTTAAATTTTTCATAAAAAGCAATAGACTAAAATAAAATAAGTAATTGTCAGAAATAGATACAAGAATATTGACAATTTGATTAAAAAAAATTGCAATAAAGTCACCAAATCAGAAAATCAAATGGATTTTTTAAAATTTAAGAGCTCAAAGAAAATTAAAATTAGCTACCTAGTTAAATAGAATAAGAATAATTAATGGTTATTAAGTAGACACAAGCACTTATAGAAAATAAAGACTCAATAGTAGTAAACTCAAAATATATGGATTCTCTCCAAATGCCAGAACAAATAAATACTTGATGATATTTCAATATGCGATATCGGAAGTCTTTATAAACTCTTAAAAAAAAAAAAAAAAAAAAAATTTTTCGAATTCAAATTTGTGGGGATATTTGGCAAGATAAAGGCATCTATGATCTTATATCTGATATCTAGGAATATCTAAAAAGATAAATAAATGTAGTAGGAAAGGGGTGTTTAGTGAGTCTTGCCTTATGTCACTTCAGAAGTCTGTTAAGATAGAAGGTTATATCAGCTACCAATATTTTGACTTTAGAGTCATTATGGCAGAAACTTCAACTGGACAAAGATCTTTGATAGCTATGCATTTGATATTGATCTTGCTATAAAGATTTGCAAAAGATGATTGTGACTAAAGTTTGCACTTGGAATTCCTAAATGTTGTTGGCAGAGAAATGAATAAATTCAGATTCACAAAAATGACCTGATACCAAAGTTGCTTGAGATACAAGGGAAAATTGGCTTAATAAAATAGCTAGTTTAGAGGATAATTAAATTAAAAAAGCAATTTGTAGATATTGAGAAAGTTATTAAATCGTTGCCAATACTACAACATTCTGATGGAAAGTACACTAGAAAAATTATTAACACAAACTTAATTTCAAATCCAATTAAAGATTATTACTCTTGGGCTTCTACTACACAAGGAAAACCAATTTTTCATCAAAAAACTTCTTGGAAAAAAAATTTTTTTTGGGAATTTGGATTATCCCTGTTCTGCAAATTGCTGAGCAACAATAACAAACAACAACAAACAAAACAAAACAAGTAGACGTGTATTTAGTAAACAAACAAACAAGTAGA